CACTAAAGACAATATTACATTACAGATCCCAAACAGCTAACTGTACCACATGTCGAGATGATTAAGAGTCTTGTTTTTAAATTTCACTAAAGTTATCTCTATTCAAATTTTATTTGGTCTAACTGCTACTAATACATTTCCTAAACAGTAGCAAGTTATTCAAGTGCTTTTTAATAAAAAAAAGTGACGAGTCCTTACTTCCATGAGACAGATGAACAAGTCATTAGGGATGTTCGCTATTGTGTAGCTGAATAGTCATGTAACAATGACATTTTAGCAGTTACGTGACTATCCAATAGTCCGCGGGGGGAGGGTCAGCAGCCAGTGCACTCCTGACCCCACTCCCAGGGAACCCTTTGCCACCCTGCTCTGCTGGGAAGAGGCAGTAGCATGGGGTGGCAGGTGGGAGCTGGTCCGCCAGGGGAGCCAGTTTAAAAACCAGCTCCCCGTGCAGACCGGCTGCTTGATACAAAGGCATCAGCGCCGTTTGGCAGCAGCTCTTGTCCAGGAAGTCCAAGCTCCCCGCAGACAAAGACTAGTCCGCAGCAGCAGCCCCTTTCCGCAGGGTCTGAGCTCCCCATGGACAGGGGCTGCTGTGGACTAGTTGGCCCAGCCTTATCAGGGAAAAACTGAGGCTTCTTCATGGCAGCCTCTCCTGCCCCCTTCGCTGCTGCCTCTGATACAGGCAAAGGCACGAAAAGTGGGGGCAGGTGGCACTGTGGAGCTGATGCTGGGGGAACCACGTTTTAAGCCGGCTCCACTCAGCACTGGCTCCTGCCTGCCCTCCCCCTCACTGCCTCTGTAGGAGGCAGCAAACAGGAGGTCAGGTGTGCCTATGGAGCCAGCACATGTGCGGGGCCTGCCTGAAAGCTGGCTTCCCGCATGTATCAGCTCCCTCTATCGGGGCAGCAGCTTAGGGTTGGGGAGGCAGGCGGATCTGGTGCTCGTGGAGAGCCTACTTTAAGCCTGTTCCTCACGGGCACCAGCTCCCACTCCCGCCCGCTTGTTGCCTCTGATATAGAGGCAGAAAGGGGGTGGAACGTGTGTAGTCATCAAGATTAACTGGTAAGCCAAGGCAACAACACGCTGACATCCCTACGAGTCATAATGTTGTGATTTTTTACTGTGTTGATTTTTCAGTTCTATGCACCTGCTAACCTCAGCTGAGGCACATTTTGTCCACAATGCTAACAATATTTTGACTGACAAGTAAAAAGAATCCAACAAAGTAGGTTTCCATTGAATACGTTATTCTCTGTCCCACAGGCCTGTTGAATGTTTCTTCTTGTAAACACTAACTACGTTTGCAATGTCACTATCTTTACACTGCTTTATGGGTCCAGCTGTATCACTTCTGGAAGTCTGGAAAGACTAAAAGCTGCCCAAACAAAAATACGAAATGAAGTGTGCTATCATGGAAAAGCCCTAATGCAGTGGTGCCCAAACTTTTCCTGTTGCGCCTCTCCCAAGAGTGGAATCCCCTACATGACTGCACTGCTGGCTTGGCTGGGCTGAAGGTGGAGCTGGCCTGGGAGTGGAGCAGAGGGCAGAGTGCAGCTGTGACTGAGGCGGGGCTGGGGGCAGAGTGGAGCTGGATGGCAGTCCTCCCCACCCCCAGGAGGGGCTGGCTCAAGCTCTGCCATCCATACCCCCAAAAATTCAGCTGCACCCCTCAAGCAGGGCACATTGCACAGTCTGGGACCACTGCTTTAATGACTCAGTAGTGAAGGCTATTTAGGCTCCACCTAAAGCAAGGTGTGAATCCCTTAATTAAAACAGGAACATTCACAGCCCATCTTTTAGAATGATTTCTTTTTCAGGAACTGTTATCATCTATAGCACTTCACACTTTTAAGTGCCTTGTAGGATGATTTAAATTGTTTAAAATAGCTTTTGTCAGGTTTCCACCAATTTTTTTCAGGATCATGTATCACCACAATCTCAAGTCACAAATGTACAATTGCACAAGGGTTACAACCTACACTAAAGGCCTACATGGAGCTATTTGTGAGGAATAATTGAAAATATAGAATATGATTTTGATTTTTTTGAGGAGGAGGGAGGTAAACACAGGAGCTTCAAAGCACTGAATGTTCACAACCAGCCTCTGCTGCTTCCTACGTCATGAGGACCACCAGGGCCGGCTTCAGGAAGTGTGGGGCCCAATTCAAACAGTTTCGACGGGACCCCGCAGCAATTTTGGTTGAACAACACCTCCCCCAAAAAAACCACACACTGCACACAAAACATCCCCAACCCCCCAGGCACAGGGAAACCCTGTGCTCAACTCACCCCTCCTGCAGCACACCCGGCACACTTCCGGGCAGGGGTGGCAGATTTGTATAATTTTTGGTGGTGCCCCATTAGCCACACCCCCTGACCCGTTAACTACGCCTCCTGACCCCCATTAACCAGGTCTCTCTCGAGGTAACACGCTTGGGCAAGATGGACACATGAACAGAAGAAAAAGGTGTCATGTCACCCCTCTCGAAGGACTTTTCCCACCATCCTCCTACCAACAGGGATTAGTTTGGCTCCCACCAAACCCCCCTCATGCAACTATCCTGCAATTGCATTAAACCAAGGTGTGTGACATGAACTCGGGGGCAAGGAGGCTGGGGGAAGTGTTCCCTCTAAGGCTATGTCTACACTCGTGGCTTCTTGTGCAAGTACAGCGGTTCTTGCGGAAGAACCCACAGAGTATCCACACTGCCAGCGTGCTCTTGCACAAGAGCATTTACAGTACGGCGTGGCAAGAGACACTCTTTTCTAACAGGTGTAAGCTCTCTTGTGCAAGAGGGCAGTGTGGATGCTCGGCAGGGATTTCTTGTGCAAGAAACCCCTATGGCTAAAATGGCCATTGGAGCTTTCTTGCTCAAGAGAGCGCCCACACTGCCATGGATGTTGTTGCGCAAAAGCACAGCTCACACATGGCAGCATGGACGTGTTCTTGCACAAGAAGCCGCCAGTGTAGACATAGCCTAAGCGTTTCCTCCCATGAGCACAATGAATTGTGCTGTGCACCATTACTGAGTTCATGTGGCTTGTTTGGATGTGCCACTGTGGCACCCAAGTTATTTATAAATATTTTATAAACCTCTACCTTTTCCCTCTGCTGCCATGTCTCCTCCCCTTGCTCCATCAGCTCCCCTGGTGTCTGCTGCCCCCCAACTCCTCACCCTCCTCTGCTGTCCTGACTCCTGCCCTTCTCTCTGCCCTCAGCCCTCCTGCGACCTGCCCCCCTCCACCAGCCCTTCTCTCCCCCCTGTGCCCACTCCTCCAGAGCCCCACTCTGATCATGTGAGCTACCCCTCCTCATCCCTTCTTCTAAACCCCTCCCTCTACACACTTGCCCTGCCTCTCTCCTCTGGGCCTGGTCCCTCCCCTGCAGGTGTCTGCCCTTCTGCTTCGCTCCCAGAGTCCCCTGGCACCTGCACCTTCCCTTACCCCTGCACCCTCCTGGTGCCTCCCCCTTCCCTCCCTGTCCCCTTTGCCCTCTTTTTCCCTGGTGCCCACCCCCTCACCACTCTGCCCCCATTTCCCTCATGCCCCTCTGTGCCCTCACACGTGACTTGTATCATCTCCACCTTTAAACTGTCCAGAGCACTTTACCAAAGCAGCGTTCATTCTGACAGAACTTGCTAGATATGAGAGACCAGGACTATCTGTCATAAACAAATAGGGTTGCCTACGCTTCAGAGGGCACCTTTAGGGGACAGGCACAAACATGGAAAGAGAAGGTGTAAGAGACAGGGACAGAGAGTTGCCTTTCTCCATGTTAGGCCACATCTCCACTTGCAGGAAAACTGATGCTGCAGCATTTGATTTAGTGGGTCTAGTAAAGCCCTACTAAATCAAATGCTGAGAGTGCCCCCATTGGTGCTGATATGCCTACTCTTCGTGAAGAGTAAGGAAAGTCGAGGGAAACTTTTCTCCTCTTGACCTCCCACTGTGAGGATGGCACCAAGGCTTGGCTTACGGTACATTGCCAGCTACGTTTTTCACTTAGTTGGAATTGCGTACTTTAAGCCATCCCTCCCTGGTAGTCTGGACCTGGCCTTGGACATTTTAAGCAGGCAAAGTTTAGCACTTTCAACTTGGAAAAAGATGTGCCCTTATTATCGTCCTTCTTTCACATTTCGCAAAGATACGAATCTCCCACAATACACACCACACACACACCCATATATGAAAGTCTACATGCAGAAGAGGCCCACTGCAGTAACCACCATTGCTCTGATGTGCCTCAGGACATCTATCAGAACTATGTTCTCCTCTTTCAGTACATTCATACCCAATCTATTTAACATTTTTGTTGTTAAAACACCATACCATACCACCACCATACCACACACTAAGGAATTTCTCAGACAAAAAATGCCAGTAATGTACACTTAAGTTGCTCAAGTGCATTTGCTATCAGCATGCATTAAAAATTAAGGAAATCCTGTTTAGGCAACATTAACCTCCACACCAACCTCAATTCACCCCAACAAACAAAATCACAGACTCCTTAAATTAAGGCAAACGGTAGGTTTTTCAAAAATGTTTCTGTGATGATGGAGCTCTAAGTCCCCTTCACTGAGGCACTTTTGGAAATTCTACCCAAAGCCCATTTCACTCCAAAATCCACTAACCACGAAAGCTCACAGTCAATTTCTCAAAAGTCCCTCAAATGCAGAGCCTTGACTCTAACAACACTTTAAAACATTAGAAAAATACACACTTTAGCAATACAAGTCTACATCTTTGTAAGATCTCTTTATAAAGAAATACTTGAGCAATCATAACTATGCAGTAAAATATTGGTGTGTACGATACATACACAAATATTATGCAATGAGTTGGAATTAGCACTATTTACAAGAGTAATTTTCAGGAAGTGAGACGAGAGGTATTTCCTCACTAAAAACTGAAAGAGTGATTAAGCCGGAACCACAACTGAGCATGTGAATATCTGAAAGCTACCACAGACAAGAACTAACACAGTTTTCCCATACCTTAAAAGCTGCACCTCCATGGATAATAGATTTGATGAAAATCCCAAGGTCAGCCCCAGTCTCCCGAGATTTGTTGCCTTTCAAGCTGACACCAAGTCCAGCAGAGCCTGAATCATTTAGAGGTATCTCAAAGGTCAGCTGTTCTGTGGTCTCTAGCGAAAGAAGACTGCAGTTGGGCTCTCCTTTCTGTTGGAGAAATTGAAAGATGGAAACATTGGTGGAAAGACAGAGACTATTACACTCACAGCACACTCTAGGTTTCCCAAATCTACGGTAATTATTTGGACAGGTTCATGTAACTAAAAATAGTTTTACATCATAGTTCCTTTATCTAGTTAACAGCTCTTTGGCACCACAAACTAAAAACCAGCATGGCAATTGGCTATGATTTGGTCACATGATTCTGTGATCTAACATATTTTGATAAAATATTTATAGATATGATTACATGGGAAATGGAAACATAAAAACTACTGTAAGTTTGATGCTACCACATATTTAAGGCAAGGACCCTGAATTTCAAACAGCTACCTTAAAAAATTACCCAAATAAATTCCCACTGCCTTTACATGTAATGATTGCTTATTTTAATAAAAATTACTGCAACTTTACTGGATGAATGGGTACATGTCTGGGCATTTTTAAAGTTTGGAGCACAAGTGGAAGAAACAAAATTAACAGAAAATGGTTTGTGCAGAAAAATACCATTTTAATAAGCAGAGCATGAAGTTAACATTTTTTCAAAGGTGATGGGACTGAAGTTCTGTTAATCCACAGAATGGACACCACACAAAGAATGGGAGCAGAAACTTTTCATCACTGTACTGCCAATGCTCTTTAGACCCAAGTTGGAGGTATAGTAGAACCTCAGAGTTATGAACATGAGAGTTACAAACTGACCAGCGAACAACACACTGCATATGGAGCCGGAAAGACATGATAGGACAGCAGCAGACACACACCCCTCTCCTAAAAAAAGCAAATACAGTACTGTTCTGTGTGAAATGTGAGCTACCAAAGATAAAAGGAAAGTTTTTAAAAGGTTTTGGCTAAATAAGGAAACTGTTTTTCTGCTTGTTTTATTTAAATTAAGATGGCCTAAATGCAGCATTTTGCTTCTGCACAGTAAAGTTTCAAACCTGTATTAAGTCAATGTTCAGTTGTAAACTTTTGAATGACCAATCATTACATTTTGTTCAGAGTTATGAATAACCTCCATTACCAAGGTGTTTGTAACTCTGAGGTTCTTCTGTACCACATTCATGGCTACAAGGAAATTCATGCAGCACTTCCCTGCCATCTCTGCAGAAAATATCAACACAGGTATCAATGTATGCCAATTGTGGGGCTAGTTTCTGGATAATCATTACAATTCTTTTATGACCTTAACATGTATGACTCTATCCAACAGGCAGCAGACATTTAACGCCCTACATGGGCAGCAAGAGGTATGATTAACTTGCAGCAAGAGGTGTGATTAACTTGCATTTAGTTTTTACCCGTATTGTTTATGTCAATCATTGAAACGGTATCAAATGAATACACATTTCACTTACATTTATCTAAGATGCCATTACTGCTGATGGAGAGTAACTACTATTCGAGGAAAAAAAAAATCACATGATTCAGTGAGCTAACTATGAACCTCAATTCTAATATGTACCAAATACAAATATTTATTACATTTAATTGTATGAAAGCCAATTTATTTCATTTAATTGGAAAACAAAAATGGCATGGTGTTGACACTGACAATTACCATCTACATGTCATCAGCTTATCTCCAATACTCTTGCTATACTTATGTGCTCTCTTGGCTCTGTTCACTTGAAGTAAACTTTCTGTGGGATTTTTCCTTAGGCAAGTATGTAACAAAATTATAACACGAGGAGGAAACAGTCCTATCAAACTTTCCAAAGCCAACGAATTAGAATAAATAAAGGAGAAAGGACTAGAGTGGTTAGAGAATATGACTGGATGTCTGACCTTTGGATTTGTATTGTCGTCTGTGCCAATGACTCACATCAAGTTACTAAATCACATAACCCATGGGCAGTGCCTCCCCTTTCTCTCTAGCTGAAGTGCATTAGACTGGATCTTACTGATTAACGATCTGCAATTATGAAGTGTATCACCACAATGGGGTGCTGCTGCCAAGGTGTATCACCAAAAAGGCATCTGCGGCTAAGCTGTATCACACAGTGTTGGACAACTAAGATTTCTTATGGCTATGGAATGAACTGCAGCAGAAACCTGACAATCCCAGGATCAGAGTGATTTTTAGCATAAATACTTAGATATTATGGAGGCAGGGACAGGTCTTCTGTTCAGACTATTCAAAATGGAAATGGGGGAGTGGCACAACATTTGGGCCAAAGTAAAATACCAGGACCACCACTGTCCCAACAGAAACTGGCTTCTCACTGAAATATATTCCACAACCACACCAAACATCTGAAGTACCTCCTACAGTACCAATAGCTCCCCAAATGCCTTATATAAAATGGATCACCAACACTGGTTTCTGTACCAAATATGAGCTTTAGTTTCAACCACCAGCATAGCAAATGGAAGGGAATATCAATGATATTTCATATAATCATATCATTTTGCACCATGAATACCCTGTGCTCTTTCTGACATTCATTTATATATTGTCTGCGCTTTTCTTCAGTATCCCTTTGATTCACAAAATAAACAGTTGCTGAAACAACACAATACATAAAACAACTCTCCAAGCCAATACAACTGCAACCTTTATGCCCCTTCAGCACAGTGCAAGAAAGCTTGGGTATAAGAAAAGGTCTTTATAGTGAAGAAGTTGGAAAACTGCCAGTGTCCTCAAATGATGACAGGAGAGACAGCATGGATAAAACATACTTTTCATCACTCGTGAACAGCTCTCTCAAGTGGTTTTTTTTTCTTGCCATATCTCCACAGAGGACAGAAAGTTTTAACAAGGAAGCTGCAAAATACTGTTAATTCTAGTGGACAACATTATAACTAGGCAATTACTACACATTTGTATACTGCAAATAAGTACCAACATGCTTTATCGCCTAGTTTCTATAAATAATTGAGTTCAGTTCTAAACTAGATTTCTATATAAGTAAACTGCTAAGAACATGGGAAAGTTAACCAAACACGTAAGTTTTACATAACATTTTTACATTTATTTAGTAAAGGTATTCTGTAGATTAGTGCTTTCCACTAATACACTGGGTTATCATCTTGACCGCGCCTTGGCATGTTATCTGTAGCAATGAGATCTTAACATTTGTTCAGTGAGACAGAAATACTATTTTTTGTTCTGGATTAGGTTTCTTTGAGCTCTCCATTAATACCCAATTTGGAATCCTTATAGTTTCACTGCAGCTTTCTAAGAATCAATTAACTTTATTATAAGAAAACCCCAATAAATTAAAAGCTAAATTTAAACAACAGCTGCTCGTACCTATTACTCAAGGAACTCTCTAGACAAGCCCCCTCAATACCTTTCAAAACTGCTCCTTCTCCAGCAGTACTAAACTAATCTAAGAACTGCTCCTTCTTGGGAGCATATTGATATTCAGTTTTACTCTAAGTTCCAGCTACTGTTAACTGGCAGTCTGGCCCTTCTGGCTTACAGCAAGGAAGAACTGGAAAACATGGTAACATAGGGGGCATCTGTGTCAGAAGCAAAATGCAAAGAGAACTTAACTTATGCAAGTGACAAAGGCAGAGAAACAGCAGTTAATTGGTGTTTCAGGAGAGAAACTGAATGAGCAAAAAGTATTTTGTATTGGGAAGTTCACTTAGTGCCACCAGAGAGAAATCTGGAAAACTGAATAGGAGAACCAGCTCAATGTACATGGGCGGCAGCAAAAGAGATGACAGAAGTACTGTGGGAACAACAGCATGTAACTTCTAGAAAAGGCCAGCACGGGAATCCCCCGATGCTATAGAGGTAAGCAATCGCTTTCAAGCTCTCTCCACAGGCTCTGCAGTGCTGAAAGCTCTGGAAGGGACCTCACAAGGAAGAAACCAGAAGGGAACACCATCTACTGGAAGGCATGGGATGCGTAGTCCTACGGATGGGGGTTCCACGGCCACCATCCCCAAAAGGAAACGATGGGTGGTGGTGGTCGGGGACTCCCTCCTAAGAGGGACTGAGCCATCCCTCTGCCGTCCGGACCTGGAATCTCGAGAGATGTGCTGCTTACTGGGAGCTCGCATTCAGGATGTCACTGAGAGGCTTACCAAGCTGATCAAACCTTCGGATCACTACCCCTTCCTGCTTCTCCACGTGGGAACTAATGATACGGCCAAGAATGACCTTGAGCATGTTCATAGAATCATAGAATCATAGAATAATAGGACTGGAAGGGACCTCAAGAGGTCATCAAGTCCAGCCCCCCGCCCTCAAGGCAGGACCAAGCTCCACCTACACCATCCCTGACAGATGTCTATCTAACCTGTTCTTAAATATCTCCAGAGAGGGAGATTCCACCACCTCCCTTGGCAATTTACACTTCTCATTATGGGATGATTTACACTTCTCATTATGGGCTTATTTGGGAGAATCTGGTCTAGTATCTATGGTCTATCTCTTCGGGGTGAGATTTTCATAAGCACTCAACACGGGTAAATAATTCCCATTAATGTCAATGTGTGTGTGTATGTAAATTATTTAACTTGCCTTTGAAAATGCAGTAATGGCCCAAAAACAACTGGGAAAGGAACATCTTATTTCACAGGTCTGGTCCTTCAGTGAATTGTAAGTTAGATCTTCTTGTGTCTATGATTCAGATACGTTTTTACTATGTGGCTTTGGGAGACTGAGTTGGATCCCTTCGCTGTCGTCTTCTACAGAATTGTTACATTTCCCTCGCTGAACATTTATTACTGTGGTCATGGTGCATGAGCCCGAATAAACCCAGCTCTTAGAGCATTGACTGAGATTGTTGGGCTGACAGGGAAATAAACCTTCTTTTACTATCAATTACTGAGCCATCAAAAAAATGGAACAGCACCATGTCGTTTTTACAGAATCCTTTTCAGAGTACAACTGCCCTTTAAAATATCTCTAGATGCCTGAAGCAATAATCCAACTTTCCTCCCACATTTACTATTACAGTGGGCTAGCAATTCATCTGAGGTTCCTGGAGTGTCTAGGATATTAATTGCCCTACAACGTGGTAAACAAA